GCACACACACACATGCACACACACGCACACACACACGCACATGCACGCACGCGCACACACGCACACACACACACGCACACATGCACACAGTCACACACACACACACGCACACACACGCACACGCACACACACACACACACGGGGAAGAGGAGCCCTGCGAGTGCAACGAGCTGCTTTGTTGTTAACTTTGTCGTATGTTTAGTTAACGAGGCAGAAAGTAAGTAAGTAAAACCCCGTCGCTCGCTCTGCCTCCGCCACGTGTATTTATATACTTTTTAGTTTGATTTAACGAGAGAATCAATTAACTCCCTCAAATTGAACGACGAACCGCATCCCAGAACGACCCACTTTCTGATGTGACGCCTCGTCGAGCTGTTACAAATCACTGCTGCAGACAAAGAGGCTTCGTATCCCTCCGTGAAGATCAGTGAGGCTCCATAAAAGATCAGAGCGAATCCTTTGTTATCCGAAGAATAGATCAAACAATCAAGTGAATCCATACTATATGAAGAAACATAAGACGAAATATGAATAGCTGTAACAAAGTGAGAGTCCTTCCATCTGCGTGGGAGAAGGAACGAGGAGAACATCCTGGTTCAGAGAGACGAGCATTTGGGTTCAATGTCCTTCTGTATTTCCAAACAAATTGACCCTTTCTTGACCGGCTAAATTATCTTGAATTGACAAACATCACAAGAGTGATTCCAACGCAATGAAAAACATTTGTCTGGCAGACCAACAGGTACCAGTTGTACATCGTGTTTGGTCCTAATTAACAGATGTTAGACAGATGTTAGCATTGGTCTGAAACAACAGACTCGCTGCCTCGAGACATCGGTCCGCAAACCTACGCGTGACGTCACCATTACATCCTCCACTACACCCACTGCGTCTCACGCGTTCACGCACAAACACGGAATGAAGATTTTCAAACATCCGTATGAGAGTTGAGAAGATCATCGACTGTAAAGACGTGCGCATGGAAACGCTTACTTGAACGCTGCTGCTGATCATTACGGAAAAGGACTCCCTGACTCGCTGTCTCTAAGCGTCCGTGTCTTCTGATATGAAAGCTGACATTACGCTCGGAGGAGTGTTTGCATTGACCTCGCGGAGGAGAGCACAGATTCATCTGCCGCGACCTATGAGCTCCATTTCGTTGGACGGTGGGGAGAGACAATGTCTTCAACGTGGAGCCAGATGTTTCTCTGCAGCCACCTTCTCAGATCCCCTTCCGTCCAGCAGGAAGACGTCTATTCCTAATCGCAAACCCACGATCAGCACTGCCTTCTTTCTTTATTTGCTTCTCCCTCCCTCCTCTATACTTCGATCTCCCCATCAGCCGCCCATGTGTGTCTTTTCTGGTTCCCCCGTGAAGCCGATCCCATTCGCACCCCGCAAGACAAGAAACACCTCTGAGAAGTGTGCGTGCGGGTGTGAGATGGAGGAACGTGAGGCAGGCGGCGATCTGAAGGTGAGGAGGCGTCATGAGGACAAGAGGAGCCCAAGGACTCTTTGGAAGGGAGCGCAGAGACGACCTTTCGGCGAGCAGCTGCTTCCCTGCAGAAGGACGGACTCCCCTCCGATGATCACCGGCTCAGAACGTGAACGATGTCCTCAGTCTCAGTTCAAGATGAATCCAGATTAAAAGCACCAGCTGAACATTTGGTCCCACGTTCCTCCTTGGTACCACACGCTGTGAAAGGTGGACGTGACGTCACACTTTGACGTAAATGTCCCCTCTGGCTGACAAAGGATTCACCTCTTTTACCTCAATGTCCTCAATGAACTGTTCCTCGAGCAGAAGAAAGAACAGTCAGAACGGGCCAAAAGGAAACGGAGAACAAACAGAACAAAGTCCAAAGTCAGATGTTAAGTCAGATAACGTGTACGGTTGCTTTCTCTCTTTTGGGACTCAGATGAACCGGTTCTGGATGTTAATGATGCTCCTGCTGCGTGGACTTGTACCTCAAGTTGTGATACGACTCAATGTAACACGACAAGACCAAGCTAACCAAGCTACTTTATTATTACTTTATGGTCTCAATCGCTTGTTCCTCTTCTTCAATGCAGCATAATAATGTTCATTGAGTAAATAAAGGTCATTTAGAGTCAAACAGGCCGTAAAGCAGGGGATGCTTTGGGAGGAGGCTTTCTACCAGGTCCTACCGGGGTCGTAAAGACAGTTTCATCATCGGGTGACGTTTTTAAGCCTCTGTTTGACCATTTCGTGTCCCCATCTTTCGTGTCCCCATCACAGACTTGTACAGGACCAGAGCAGTCGCCCCCCGGTGGTCAGAGAGAGGGAAGCGTTAAGACACTTCATGCATACTGGTTATGGTTCGTACCCTCAGCTACGACTAAACAGGTTTTCGTCGTGATATTTGGAATTTGTCTCAGAGGGATTTTACTCTTCAAATATTGTGGCAGTAATAATAATTTTAAAATACGTTTTAAACATCGGCAGATCAAAGACACACTGGAATCAGCTTTCACAAGACCTGCGAACGTCTGTGGCTCCGATCAGAACAACATGATCACAACTGGAACAGAAAAACCTTTTGTCTGCTGTCCGGCTACAAAATATCCCATTAGTGCTGCCGAGTCCTGACGTGTGCGTGTGCGCGCGCGTGTGTGTGTGTGTGTGTTGGTGCAAAGGATCAGTAGTTTGGTACATCATCCACCTTCACCGACGCATTCTCCCCTCTCCTCCTTTCTGTAACGTGCTGTGGCTAAGATACGAGCCGCTCATCTTCACTCCTCCACACACAACCAGTCCTCGCGCATCTGTGTGTGTGTGTGTGTGTGTGTGTGTGTGTGTGTGTGTGTGTGTGTGTGTGTGTGTGTGTGTGAAATGTTTCTCCCGACCTCCAGATTATCCTTGACACGCACGCGTCTGTGTACATCGTTCCCTCACAGTCACCTGAGAGGTCAGTTTGAAAGGAGGACAGGTGTCTTTCTTCTCGCCTGCAGACACATTCCTGGAGACAAATTTCAGAATAGCGTCAAAACTGACCTGAGAGCAGCTGAGACGCTTCAAACAAATAACATTTGCATCCCACGACTCTTTGAACAAAATGCGTCTTACCCCAGGGTGCCATTAAAAATGGTTTCTTTTATGTGTGTGGGTAAAAAACTCCCACGAGGCTTTGACAGCGAGCCGGTGTCCCGAGGTACTAACGCAGTATTTAATCCACTGCTGCTGTACTTCTATTCCACTCCTCTTCAAAGTGAATAATGTACTTTTCACCCACTTGAAGACAGATGTTTATTTTGAAAAGACACTTAACTATGAAGCAAATGAATTCTCTCTGGTGACCAGCAGGGGGCGACTCCTGCGGTCCCATAGACGTCTATGAGGAAATGACTCTCATAGACTAGATTCAGTTTCAAGTCTTCTTCAATACGTACAGATGTTCATTCAGTAAACATTTGCATTACAGCTTAGAGGAGAGTATCTACTCAAAGTGACAAATGATCACCGCAGCGTGTTGAGTAGCCGTGATTCGTTCTCACTGAGTTATTAATGTTGCTCCATTGATCACATGGTCTCATTATTCATGTAATATTTATCAAGAGACTAAAGGCTGTTAAAAAGGTCCACCTGGTGATCAGAGTCACACACACACACACACACACACGCACTGTGTGTGTGCGTGTGTGTGTGTGTGTGTGTGTGTGTGTGTGTGTCTGTGAGTGTGTAGATGCCTGCAGGCTTCAGATGAGAGGGAGACCAATCAAAACGAACCTGTTCTGTGGAGACACAATTTCTGCTGGTGATGATTTTTTTTTTGCCTGATTTTAGTATTTTTTCCAGGAAAAGGACGCGAGCGCCGAGCTGGAGGCGAGTCGATGAGGCGATGAGTCACTCAGTCACGTCAAATAAACAGCAGGAACGATCTGTTTGTGTGGACCAGCCGAGAACTTCACGCCAGCTGCCAATTGGATGAGAGTTAGGAATGTTTTCCTTTTTTAAACTCATCAAAAGGCATCTGGTCCTGATCCGCTATATGAACCAGTCTGAGTGTAGTCCTGATCCTCTATATGAACCACTCTGAGTGTAGTCCTGATCCTCTATATGATCCACTCTGAGTGTAGTCCTGATCCGCTATATGAACCAGTCTGAGTGTAGTCCTGATCCGCTATATGAACCAGTCTGAGTGTAGTCCTGATCCTCTATATGAACCACTCTGAGTGTAGTCCTGATCCTCTATATGATCCACTCTGAGTGTAGTCCTGATCCTCTATGTGAACCAGTCTGGGTGTAGTCCTGATCCGCTATATGAACCAGTCTGAGTGTAGTCCTGATCTCATATGAACCAGTCTGAGTGTAGTCCTGATCCTCTATATGAACCAGTCTGGGTGTAGTCCTGATCCGCTATATGAACCAGTCTGAGTGTAGTCCTGATCCTCTATAGACCTTCATCAGTAAACGAGACCATCAGAGAGTAGATGGTCTATACATGTGGTTTGGGTAAAGATCTCTCTGTGGAATCGTGGACGTGGACATGAAAGGCTGAAGTGAGGAGAACATCTGATGGAAGCACACTGCCTCCTACAGGTGGAGCTACCAAATCACACCTGCTGCATTCATGTCTCGTAAATAATAAGTGAAGGGAAGACGGCTGTGCTTTTACTTCACCTTTAACCTTTAACCCGTAATGGAGTATTTTTGGTGAGTTGCACTTTTCACGAGAGTTAAAGATAAAATGTGTGTTCAACCTCCGACAGCATCGGCGCTTATTTTTTTAATTATTTATTGTTCAAGCTATGAAAAAAAAACATGTTTGCGTTGTGACTCAAAACTTCTGTTTCATCAGTTTCTTCGGTACATCTGATATTTGTATCGTTTTGTCCACAAACATCACCAACAATCATCTCGTCTTGGTCTCGTGATTCTCTGTGAACTCACGCAAGGAAACCGTAAAAAAATCACCAGGTGAGCAAATGAATTCAGTGAAATCACAATCAGGCTAAAGAAAGTGATTCTCAGACCAAAAGTCAATTCATGTTTTTTTATTTTTTATTTGAGATAATTGCAGGAAAAATAAGTTCGAAAGAAAGAAGCAAACGTCAACGCCAAGAGGCTATGAAGGAATCCACCAGGGTCACATGACTTCACGTCCGGCTGCGGAGGAACGTGTCTCATTCGGACAGAAAAGTTAACCTTATGACGTCTTCAGCTTGTGTTAATCACAGAATATATAGATATTAAAAAAAAACATTCTATGAGACCAGCGAACAGGAAGTGATGAAGCGCTGACTCGTGTCGTTTCCTTCAGGAATCACGACCCTTCAGCCCCTAAACATCTGGCGGAGGAAGAGAAGAGAGAAACGAGGCTGTGATCGATACTCGACGCGTGATGCTCCCTCTTCGCTCCCCCGCGTGTGTCGCTGTTCACCGCGACTCACCGCATTGGTAGAGGGCGTTGACGCGGGCGATGTCGTTTTGGCTCATCGTGGTGGCGCTCCCGAACTCCATGTCGGGGTCGGCCTTGGAGACGATGGTCGGCTCCCCGTTGCGAGAGAAGGCGTATCTTCAGGAGGACACGAACACAACGTGTGAGGAGACGCGCTATCTGAGCCACCCAGCAGACCGCGCGCGTGTGTGTGTGTGTGTGGTGTGTGCGTGTGTGTGTGTGTGTGTGTGTCAGTGTTCTGCGAGCTGCTGCGTCCGCCCCACCAGGCGACTTCGCCCTCTTACTTGCTGTAGTGCATGACGGACTCAAAGTCGTACGGAGTTCCCAAGTTGTTGGTCGGCTGCTTCGCAAAGTTCTGTTCCGTTCCTGCGCAGACAAAAGTGTCATTTGAGCTTTAGATTTCTCGTCAGAGCGGATCGAAATCGTTCTCCTGAGGATCAAACACCCTTCGTTTGCAAACCCGAAGAACATTTTGCTCGTGAATTCTAAAGTTTTGTCTTCACATTGACGCGTATTTGAATGCTTTCTAACGATACTTCTCCCCGAAATCAAACATAAGATGTTTCTCTTTTTCCGACAGCTTCAGCGTTCTACGCTCGATTGTCTCCCGCCTCCATCGCCCCTGAAGACGGCCGCTGACCTGGACGGATGTTTTCCTGCAGGATGGACACGTGGTCGTCCCTGTCGGAGCGGACTTGCTCGTGGTGGAAGCCCAGGGCGTGGAGGACCTCGTGCTGCACCGTGTCCGTGAACAAGCAACCGTCCCTCCTCAGGGAGACCTGCTGTCCCTGACTCTGACGGCCCAGGTAGGACCAACACCTGTGTCACACACACACACACACACACACATTGAACAACCGACGCCTTTCTGGCCCATTGGGTTGTTTATTTAGTAAATTGCCAAATGAATTAGAGGCCGATCACATGACATATGGTGGATTTCTGAAGCTGTGAGTGCCGCTGTGTGTGTGTGTGTGTGTGTGTGTGTGTGTGAGTGTGTGTGTGTGTGTGTGTGTGTGTGTGTGTGTGTGTGTGTGTGTCATTGAAACCGTCAGACAGGTTTCACAACCAGGTAATCAGATGTCTGGATTCCCACAAAAGGATTTTTTTGGAACATAGATCCAGATCTCAATTCCCACACGACCCCACCAAGAGGAACAAGCCGAACGTGTGAGAGAGGGTTAGCCGGTCTCCACATAACAACATACAGAAGTTATAATTTTTTATTTTTGTGATGAGGTTTGAATACGGAGCGTCGCGGTGCACATCGTCTGATTGTGCGTTGTCTTGTGAACTCTTCTCCCTGTTCTATTATCTTTGTTGTTTTGTTTGCATCAGCAGAAAGTATTCCCTGGGGGATGCTGGATAGGAGGAAAGGAAAAAAAGCTTAATTAGGACCATTACCTCAGGCCTTTCTCGCTGATAGTCAACATTTCAAGTGACTTCGTTTAAAAATACGGTCAGAGATGGAGGCGGGAATCGAGGAGAAGTGAGCACAAGACAGAGCAGGCTCAAACACAAACGATACTGAAATAGATTTATTGAAAGTCTCTTTGAAGGGGAACGCAAGGGGAAATAATAGAAATGTGAGCTACATGGGAACCCAGCACTTAAATCCTCCAATATTAAATATTGCTGACTAGGGGGTAA